GTGCAAGTATCTTGGCACCCATTGAACAGAAAGTTTGCTCATCTTTAATCCTGTCAGTCAGAAATACATAAGCTGAACCATTTGAGATGTCGATGGTGCTGGCGATTGCTTCTGTGGCTAATCATTGGTCCTCTTTAATGAGGACATGAACAAGATTATTTTTTTCCTTGAAAATCAACGTGAATGATCCGTAGTTGCAAGTTTTAGCTTCCACATTGTCTAGCCCCTTCTTAAAACGTGTTATGCATTTATAAACTGCTGCTTGCTTTCTTTGGGGCATATGGGAAATCTGAGGCTTAGAGAAATAAGTCAACGGCATTTTGTAAACTTTTCGTAAAGCATAGGTAATTTCCATATTTCCACCATGATTTCCTTAATTTTGGTGTTTGTTTTTGCTCCAATTTTAGCAAAACTTATGTTACTTGTATAGGAGCTCTTTCCAAACTGATGTCTTACCCATTTTAGTGCATCCAAGGAGACCCTGTTCAGAATGTTCATGCTACAACAAGTTGGTACAAATTCATTTTGGTACCAGGGGCTTCCGTGGAGAGCAGATGTTTTGAGAATAATGAGGGTAATGAATGTACAAATGTGCTTTATACAATGGATGTATATATGGATTGTAATAAGAGTTGTATGAGCCCCCAATAAAATGATTTAAAAAAATTAATTTTGGTACCAAAAAAAAAAAAGAATTCCATGCATATTTTTCTCATAAAGAGAATTTCCATGAGCTTCCTGAAAATCCCTCGTATGTTCTATGAAGGGTCACCATGTGCTCCTTCTCGGGCCTCTAGCCAAGCACCAAAAAAGAGCACACAATAAGCTGTCAATAAATATTTTTTTGAATGAAGACAACAGAATCAAGTGCTAAGTGCTTAATTTCATTTACCCTCCACAATAACCCTCTAAGTAGCTATAAATAGGCAAGGACTCTGAGGCTAGAGGAATAATTAATTACTGAAAGTCACACAGTCCACAAATGGCACAGGCAGTGTATGACCTAGATCACCTTGGTAAAGTGATGTTTCATGGTGTCTGATATGTTCCTTGTTGCGTGCAGTCATCCCACTGAGAAACCAGCATTCCCAACACTCCTCTCTGTGATTGCCCAAAGGAAAAGCGAGAGAGGGGCTGATGCAGGACATCTGTTGTATGCCCTCCCAACGTCGGTCCGTCTTCTTCCAGGCATTGGCCCTGTTTTCATTGGGAAGACATGCAACCTGCTTGTCTACGCCCACATGGGCTGAGGAGGCTCAGCCTTGCGATGAAGGACTGTGATCTACATTTGAGTCAGTTAGCCCAATCCACCCCTCTCCTCTTCTCTTCCCACGGTGATTGGTACAGGGATGGGATCATGACTCCAAATGATCCATCAGATCCTACACAACTGAATGCAGGACTACGATGGGAATTGTTGCAAGGGTGGGCTTGCTCTTTCCCTGCCTTCAGACTCGAGAAACGTAGAGACTGGAGCTACTGCCACCAACTCTGCTTCACCGTCACCTGATAGGACAGAGAGGAGGGCAAACCTGACCCTGAAGGCTTTTACTTCCTGATAGCAAATGGCATTATCTGAGTTCCGCTCATGCTGTGCACAGGGCTTCCTGTCTCTATGCTACTCAGTAATTTGAGCCAACCAAGTATTTTTTCTATTTCAGTCCATTTGGGCTGGGAATTTCATCACTTGCAATCAAAGGAATTCTAATCAACACAGACCTGTCTTTCTTTTCTGGTTCCATTTTCCATAGGCTTTGATAAGCTCATCAGGCTCCTTGAATGATTTTAAATGTATGTTCTTTGGTCCTTTTGAGGAAATTGGTGGGAAGGTAATACAGTGAACCCTCGCCACTTCGCGCTTCGACTTCCGTGGCTTCACTCTATCGC